GTGTGAAGGTCCTCAGTTCAATTCCCAGTGATAGAAGAAAAAGAAGAAAGGAAGGAAGAAAGAAGAAAGTTCTATTTAGTACAAAATTTTTTTTCATGCTAGGAGAGTTTTTATTGGAAATAAGGAGGAGAATATCTCCTGATTTTCCAGAAGGGGTCCAGAATGAGGTGGCCCTATCTCAAAAAATTTTAAAGGTCTGGGTATACAGCTCAATGCAAAGGCCCTGGGTTTGATCCTCAACATTGCATCCCCCCAAAAAAAGAATGCATAGAAACATTGTAGAAAGTTTGCAGAAGATGAACGTGTGAAAGAGATTTTCAGTGTGAAAAAGATTGGATTAATCTGTATGGCTAATATTAGAGGGGAATTATGTAGTAATTTTTTTCTAAAAAGTGAAAATTAATATCTAAATTACACTGCAAAACTAAAATTTCAACCTCTCTTTTTAAACAAGTTTAGTTGGTGTTTTCGTTATTTACAAGTAGGAAATTGAAGGATGTTCCCTTATATTTGAAGTAATTGGTCCACGAAACAAAGCTGTGTGTTTTATTAAGTTAATTTCCTCTGTGTTATCTCTATTAGATTATTGATCACTTAAGTAAACTGAATCTTTTCTATTTTTTTTTAAAAGACACATTTATTCAGCGTCATGATCAGACTATTATATTTAGCAATCAACAGCATGGGTGCAAAAAAAAGTCTACATTAAAACCCTTTGTTGGAATGCTTTACACTTTCCACAGAACAGAAACTAAAATAATCTGTTATACAATTAGTCACAAATACAGTCCTCGAGTTTTTTTGCCCATACACATGAGTATTGTCTAAAACATGTCTTCTTTGTAGCAGCTAGGCCCTGCCACCACTGTGCTTGGCTGAGTTCACAAATCTGTTGTAACCTGTAGCTTCCCTGTCACTTCTCTGGCTCTCCTCTCCTGCCAGGAAACAAAGCTTAGCAGGAGAGGAGAGCCAGACTTTTTTTTGCCAAACCATGAAATCAAGGTGGCTATGGTGGTTTCAGCAGCAGTAGTAGCTATGGCAGTGGCAGAAGGTTTTTTTGCACCCATGCTGTTGATTGCTAAATATAATAGTCTGATCATGTAGCCACCTTGATTTCATGGTTTGGCAAAGTATTGGCCTCTACCACAATAGGGCCCAGAGCTTCTGCCTCCAAAGTTTCCTCCCTTCATGGGTCCAAAACTTGAAGATTGATTGTTGTAATTGCCAAAATCATTGTAGCCTCCACCACCTCCAAAACTGCTTCCATCATTACCAAATCCATTGTAACCCTCCCCACTGACACCTTATCCACCTCCACCATGGCTGCCACTAAAGCCACCTCGACCACTGAAGTTTCCTCCCCAACTGAAATTATCATTGCCACCAAAACCACCTCCACGGCCACCACCAAAATTTCCAGAACCACTTCGACCTCTTTGGCTAGATGAAGCACTAGCCATCTCCTGTTTCAACAGGGCTTTCCTCACTTCACAGTTGTGGCCGTTCACAGTGTGGTATTTCTGAATGACAATCTTATCCACAGAATCATGGTCATCAAAGGTTACAAAAGCAAAGCCCCTCTTCTTCCCACTGCCTCTGTCAGTTATGATTTCAATCACTTCAATTTTTCCACATTGTTCAAAATAATCTCGTAGATGATGTTCTTCAGTATCTTCTTTAATGCCACCAACGAAGATCTTCTTCACAGTTAAGTGGGCACCCGGTCTTTGAGAATCTTCTCTTGAGACAGCTCTCTTTGGTTCCACAACTCTTCCACCCACCTTGTGTAGCCTTGCGTTCATGGCTGCATCCACCTCTTCCACAGTGGCATAAGTGACAAACCCAAAGCCCCTGGAGCACTTGGTGTTTGGATCTCTCATTACCACACAGTCCATGAGCATTCCCCATTGCTCAAAACAGCTTCTCAGACTCTCATCTGTTGTTTCAAAGCTCAGCCCTTGGATGAAGAGCTTCCGCAGCTGTTCGGACTCCTTAGGAGACTCTGACTTAGACATGATGGCAGTCGGAAGAGAGACTAAAGATGTTAACTTAGCAGCATCCATGAGCAAAAAGGCCTGAATCTTTTCTATTAAAAGAGCTAAGAGTTTTAAGCATCATGCACTTTGTAAATTTGCCTGTGAAGGGTTAATATCATTTTGGTTAAGAGACATCTTATATAAAATGACCTGTGATCTTACTTTGATAAGTGTTTTAAACTTTTGATGATTGCAGGGGTCTTCTAAAATCAAGTTCTAAATTAAGACTTTTTTTTGACTCTGAATTAATTTTAGGATTTTTCAAGATGGGCTCATGGACTACCTCAAAAGGAGATCTCTCATAAAAAAAGAGACTTTAAGCTAACTTGGCATACTTCATATATTAAATTACATGGTAAACTGCCAAATAATGGGTAATGCTAAAGTTTCTTTGAGTTATATTTGTATGGATATTTTATGAATATATACATAAGTTATATGAAATTCCTAACAATCTAATAGTCCTATAATAACATGTCATAATTCTAATTATTATCTTGAAATGTATGCAGAGTCTAGCAGAATGGTGTGTGCCTGTGCTACCAGATAATCAGGAGGCTGAGACAGGAGGATCACATGAGCTCAGGCATTCTAGTGGGCACAAGCAGCACAGAAAGACCCATTTCATTTAAAAAATATATCTTTGATAGCCTCTTTAATAAATGGTGTTGGAAAAACTGGATTTCAACTTGCCAAAGATTAAAACTAGACCCTATCTTTCACCAGGCACTAAATTAAAATCCAAGTGGATTAAAGATCTAAATATAAAGACAGAAACACTAAACTTGCTGGAAGATAAGTTAGGTAGAACTCTTGAAGACATTGGCATAGGAAAAGACTTTGTGAACAAAACCTCAGTAGCACGGGAACTAGCACAAAGAATCAACAACTGGGATCTCATCTTATTAAAAAGCTTCTGCACTGCAAGAGAAACCACTAACAGAGCTAAGAGACAACCTAAAATGTGGGAAAAATTTTTACCAGCTGTACCTTAGACAAAAGTCTACTATCAAGAATATATAAAGAACTTAAAAAAATCAGACCCCCCAAATTTAAAGACCCAATCCAAAAATGGGCATCTGAAATGAACAGATATTTCTGGCAAAGAATTAGAAATAACAAAATAATATGAAAAAATGTTCAACATTACTGGTCATTCAAGAGGTGCAGATCAAAACAACACTGAGATTCCATCTCACCCCCAAAAGAATGGCTGCTCTCAAGAAATCAACAAATAACAAATGCTGGTGGGCTTGTGGGGAGAAAGGAACCCTTCTTCATTGTTGGTGGGAGTGCAGACTGGTGCAAGCACTGTGGAAATCAGTATGGAGATACCTCAAACAACTTGGGATTAGAAGTCCCATTTGAGCCAGCTATTCCTCTTCTGGGTATCTTCCCCAAAGAATTAAAAGAATCATACCACAGTGATATATTCTCACCCATGTTTATAGCTGCACAGTTTGTAATAGCTAAAGCTTGGAAGCAGCCTAATTACCCATTAGTTGGAGACTGGTTAAAGAAGATGTGGTTCTGTAATAAAATGGAGTACTACTCAGCCATAGAGAATGAGAAACTAGAGACATTTATAGCTAAGTGGATGCATATTGAGACCATACTCTTAAGTGAAATAAATAGGACACACGTGTAAATACCAAATAGTTTCTCTGGTATGAAAAACTAAAAGTGTAAATGGGGATCAAAATGTATAATTGACATTGTGACATTGGAAGAAAAAGTCTAAAAGAATAGGGAAAGTGGGAGGGGTAGGGGAAAGGAAAGAAGGGAAAAGAAAAAATATGAGAAAAGGAAAAAAATGGAAATAAAGTCGGCAAATAGGGAAGGGTGGAAGGTTTGAAGGGAGGGCATGGGAATGGGGAAAAAATAAGAACCAAGATATGTCATGTAAAGGTACAAGATCCCAATGATGAATGTAACTGTACTGTATACCTAAAATGTACCAATAAACTTAATGGAAAAAAATATTTGTCTGCAACAGAAATAATTACATTTTGTTATCGTTTGCATCAGTATTGTAGTGAACTCTTGTCAGACCTTTAACCAGGGCCCATTTAGGTCTTGTCACTCACAGGCAGGTAATTATATCATCTGGTACTTTGCTGAGCCACCATCAGTTTTGTGTTCAGAGACACTTATGGAAAGGACTCTGTCAAGCAGGTTTCAGATAACTTAAGATCACTCCATTGGACTGGGTAAGAATTCTCAAAAAACAAACTCACTGGCTCATAAACCTCAAGCTGATGTTTAACCCAAGATCAAGCACAATGAGAATTAATTATATGCTAAGGAAATGACTTGCAGATTTTCCTGCTAAGTCAGCCAGTACTCAAATTGTTGACATGGAATTTGACCTCTATAGGATTTATCCAGATCTAATCACCTAACATAACCTATTTAATAAACAGTGCTGTGCAGTGAACTAGAGAAACAAAATTTGTATTTGTATTTGCATTGCTAAGTGTGGATTCATGGAAAGCATGGATGGCTGCCTGATCTTTGCTGAATATTTGCACTTTCCAGTATTAAAAGCTCTGCACTTCACAAGTCATCATGGATGGCTGGTGACATAAATGTTTTAAATTGTAAAAAACGGCTGTTGCTGCATTAAATTCAGTAAGCCCCCTTTCTCTAAATAAGGTTATGGGCCTTACAGTCGCTATTAAAGGAGTACAATAGAGTAAGTTTCCTGCTGGACCTTATCAAGCAATGCAGACTGATGGCCCAAGAAATGTAACTGTCTGTACAACTGCCACAAAGTGGCACACTTTCCAGCCCCGAAGTGTCTAGATTTGAGTCTTCAGAGAATTCATCTCTTCTGACTCCTCACTGGTTCAGATTTTGTTCTTTGGACTGACTCACTCCTGTCTTCTGAATAGCTTTCGCTAAAAATTCCCATCCCTCCCAGAATCAGAGATCAAAGCACTCAATATCCAAAATTATATTTACCTTGAAGTAGATAAAGATAAATTAAATTCCTAGTAAGAGTCCCAGGTGTTCCCTCCTGGCAGCCTAAGGGTGCCACTTGTATGAAATCTGAAGTGAACAGGCTAGTTAGGTGGAAATTTGGACCTTGTATACAACCCCATCTCTTAGAGGTTCAGAAGGGTAGAAGCAGCTCTTTGACAGATGGGTGAAAATATTTATGTTCAACAAAAACATGTAGAGGAACAAAATTTAGCTTTAGATGTCTTTCTTGTCCATGCTGGGCGCTTGTGTATGAAACTGAATTCTGTGCTTAAATTTCCCTTCATTTCACTGCTACAGAAAAAGTAATTTAAAAGGTGGCCAAGCAGCTGGGGGTGTTGCTCAGTTGGTAGAACATGTGCTAGCATGCAGTAGGCCATAGGTTCAAACCCCAACCTGAAAAGACAAAGCAATGTATAAGAAGTGGCTGATAATAGTGCTGTTTCTCTAGATACCTTCACTGAACACATTAAGAAAAGTTCTAGGGGGAAGAAACACATGATGTGGTCATAGAAATAGCTAACAGTTCATTTGCAAACATCCTGAGTAGTGGGTGGCAGGCTAGGCTATTCCAAGGTTTTCTAATCTTCATGTTTAGTGGGTCTCCAGGTTTTTTTGGGGGTGGTACTGGGGATCAAACTTGGGACCTTGCACTTGCAAGGCAAGCAGTGGAACTACTGAGCTAAATCCCTGGCCCTGGGTCTCCAGGTTCTTATGGCTTGAGAAGCAAGTCTAACTACACACATGGATGCTTATTTAGATAGAGCCATTTCACAGCCATCCATGGTCCTTAGTCAACATCACTGTCTGAACAAAGACTATGACCAATTGGTCTCAAATACTGTTGAGCTTTCTATATCATGTGAACTTTAAATGGCTTGATTCTGAGCAGTTTGGTTCATGGAGACACCAGTTAAGCAGTGTTCTCTAGCTTCTGTATATTATTGATATACAAAGATATCAGTAATGCAGTATCTCCTAGTAGCCATCCTCAGATCTCCCCAGTGTGTTGTCAAGAGTGTTTCTGTGCAACCATCCTTTGTACACCAAAAACAACAGAAACTTGAAGCACCAAGAATCATCCAAATCATTTGTCACCATCGATTGTATTAGATCCTCTCAGTTAATTATGATGGTTCCAGAAAGGGTCAGCGGCCAAGATTTTAGTGAATCTCTCATAATGGAGAGGCTGACCAAAAGTGGGGAATTGTTACATTAAATCTGGCCTGAATCTGGCTGTGTATATGGGGAACTGTAGCCCATGTTAATATGTCAGCATTGCACCCTGCCTGTTTGTGAAACAAGTAGCTGAGCAGCCAAAGGTTCAGCCCATCACAGGGTGCAAACTGCTCAGAAATGTGCAAAGAAGACAAAGGAGCTGCAGCCAGTCAAGCTATTTCTGTGTGTCCCTTTCTTATTCTGTCTCTAGATACTGCCTGTCATGTTCTGGGTAAAGCATTCCGAATCTGTACTGGTTCGGGTGCTTCAGGGTTCCTAAATCATTTCTTTGTCCAAAGACAGTGCTAAAATCAACTTGTCTAACCTTTTCTTTTAAATAAGTGTTAGCAAGAACTAAGTGTCACAACACAGCATGCTCTCTCACTCACTTCTTCTGGAAGAAGGCTTTCACAGAAAATTCTCTCCACCCTTTAAGAAAATAATGTTTCCAAATTGTCTACATCTCAAAAATAATTGGCTCTAATTGCAATTCTCTGCTCTCAATGCAGCCTGTGTCCCCTTCCTAAGCAGGGCCAGTCCAGCTCTAAGGGCATGGGGAATCTCAGAAGTACAGTACAAGGACTCTAACAATAGTACTTCACTCCTTCAAAGGATTTACAAGATCTGGCACACAGTGAAGGCTTTGCAGTGATTTATTTCTCATTCCTCTCTACTCCCCCCACCCAATCCAAAAATCTCTAAAAACAATTACAGCTCTTTGAGATGCTAAGCAACAGAAGTGACTCCTCCCCACTTCCCAGGATCAAAATTATCAAGTGGCAAGAGGAATATTTCCATAAATACTGAATCAAGGGGCAGCCCAGGGATTTGGGTAAAGGCACTTTTAGCTGTGCATTTTGCTCCAAGAAAAACATTTAAGGGTCTGAAGGCTTGATTAATACAGGATTGTGGGCAGAATAAGTAAGGTTCCTGGCTCTACCACTTAACCAGCTGTGTGATCCAGTAAAGTCATTTTCCTCCTGGGCCCTGTATTTCCTACCTGCAAAATTAAGTGGTTGACTGAATTTGGTCAGGCCACTAGAAGGAGGAAAATCGAGAAAATCACTTTTGTGTGTAATAAGTTAGCATGTGATAGAGCACTAGCTACAGAACTGGCCAACGCCTTTCTTGTCTCCCCATTGAAACAAGGACATGAAGGAAGGTTTGCTGCATTGGAAAACATACTAGGCAAATCAAATTCCCGCTTGACAGTAGTCTCCCATGATTACAGCCATGCCCGCGTGTTAGATGAGGAAACTGAGCCCCAAGCGGATTAGCTAAAGACCCAAGGTGACAGTGTGCAGGGGGCCAAGAGACTCCGACTGGGAAGGCCACTTTCTCTGAAGAGAACCTCTCGGGGCCGGGAGGGTTGTGGCCCCAGCTCTCACCATCCCCAGGAAGGCGGCATACAGGACCGCTGTGGTGAACCAGCGCAGCGCACTCCCTGTCCGGGGCACCGTCACCGCCTCCGGCTCAGGTTCCGGGGCCGCGGCCTGGAGGAGCCGCCGAGCAGCAGCCTGGGCCCCGGCCCCACGGAACTCCGCTTCCAGCTCCAGCTTGGCGGCGACGGGGAGGTGGTCTTGCAGCCCCTAGCTTTTCTTCGTCCGAGCCTGTGGAGTGCTGAGCCCGGATCCTTCCTGGCCCTCAGGTCCCACCCAGTGGTGCCTGCCCCCAGGGACCGTCGTGCATCCCGGCTTCGCGAAGGCGGACTTTGGACCGCACGTGTTGAGTGGACCGACGCGTGCGCTCCATCTGATACAGGTCTTGCTTCTCAGAAAGAAAACTTGTGGCCGACCTGCACCTTGTCTCCATCAGTGGTTGCCTGGGCGATCGGACGCCGCCGTGGGGCGTCAGCTTCACAGAGACCCGCGGCGGAACAAGCTGGAACTGCAGGCTCAGAATGGGTGGATCAGAGAGATGCGAGGTCCCGGGTTCCAGCGTGCCCTGCCCGAGAATATTAGCCAAGGAAATTCCCGGAATAATAAAAAGCAGCTCCACCCAGTGCTGACCTGGGACAAGGATTCTGGGAAATTCCAAATGCCAGAAGGTTATAGCAGAAAATAACGGCGACATTTCACTTTCATGACCAGCACATTTTGACCTTTTTTCCAATCAACTTCCTTTAAACTTTAGGTTCTAAAAACGCCGCCTCGTGAAAATGCAAAACTGCTCATTTTTCTCAACTTAGAACAACCCCAAAATAATTTAATCCTTGCAGTTGGCAAGGTTTAAAGAGAGTGTTCTATTAGTGAAAATGCTGTTCGCCAAAAAGGACAACTAGTCAGAGATGAATCTATTGTAAGAAGACACAAAGAAATACGTTGTGAAAGATCTGAATTGCTCTGTGGGTCTGCTGCACCCGCTTCTCATCCATTGTGACATCGCCAGCTACGGCATTTCAAATATAGATATAATTGAAGGAACATCAGATGCAGCTTCATTGAGTCCATTATAGAAGTACACTTTCTAGAAGAAGAGAATAAAGAGTGTGCTAAAATAGAAATAATCATATTCAACTGCTTTAACATTCGGGCTGTTTAATAAGTTTGCTGTGGGCTTGACTCCTAGAGGTAATCTTAATTCTCAAACATAATGTTTCAACAGCTGGAAATAGGAAGGATTTGCAAACTTACCAAGAAGAAAGAAGAGGACGAAGAGGTAGGAGCAGAAGGAAAAGGAGAAGGAGGAGGAGGA